TCCAGTCCTTCAACACTTCCTACACAGATACAGGACTGTGGGGACTCTATATGGTTTGTGAGCCAGCTACTGTTGCAGACATGATCCACTTTGTTCAAAGAGAATGGTGAGAAAATAATACCAGATAAATGAGTTGAAATCTTGTCGGGGTTTATCAGTTAGGTTTAAAGTTTTTAATTTATTGTATTGCTGATAATGTTGTATTTCAACCATTTGTTGAATAAAGAACTAGGTGGGGAGATCTAATCCAGATTTTAAGGACTGCCTTTTGTTTCTCTAGGCAACACTTAATTTTTCTTAAAAATGAACCAGTTTTCAGATAATTAAAAAAGTAATTTATGCATTCTCTTACGTACCTTGCCAAGTCTGGACTAGTTAGATCTGGGGGATAGGCATTTGATTTGATTAGGTCGGCTATTTTTGTTTCTTTTTTCCTTCACCTCCAGATTTTTCTTCCTGTACCCCTACACTAAAATGTCACTTGTTACTTATCTGGTTCCCTCAAATGCTTTTAAAGTGTTTCTAAAGATAGCAGCATTAGCCTGTTTTTAGGAGACCCAGAAGTTTCTAAATAATGCTTTTGAGAAACAGTGATCTAAGTATATTTATTATTTCCAAGCCTGATTTGCTAGTGATCTTTGGAATAGGGAGAATATATGGTATTGGAGACACATTTGCTATCAAAAGCCTTCTCCCTCTCCACCCTCTCTTAAAGTATCTTGATCAATCCCATCTATCCCTTAAACATGCCAGGTCACAAAAATTTTTATTCTCTTATGAAACATCTTTGAAGCACTGTCCCACAACCTTTAAAGATGTGCATCCAAAGTGTTAACACCCCTCCTAACTTCATGTCATCTGCCAACAAGCATACCATTTATGCCTTTATTCAAGTAAATGACAAACATTGAACAGCACAGAGCCAAAGACAGCTCCCTGGAATAGTCCACTAGATCCATCCTTTTAAATTGACAACCAACAGCAATTAATTAGTATTATTTGTTTTCAGCTAATTCTGAATATACCTAATTGTACCATGGTCTAGCTCCCATCTCTTTGCCTTGGCCACAAAGATAACAAGAGAGAGAAGCTTTGTTTAATTCGAGGTAATCTTTGAAGAAGTAGGAAACCATAGCTGTGGAGCATAACCTAAACTCTTAGACTTATTTTGGTTAGTTTTCTTGAACAGCTCTTTTTGTCTCTATCTTTTGTTTTATGGTATAAGGTATGACTTTTGGGAGAAGGGAAGGAAAAAGAATATATTAAAAAATTAAAGTGATATAAAAACAAAATATATCAGTTAAGAAAAAAATTATTGAATTGTATTTATTGATCTCCCATTCTTTAGTCAGTAAGATCAACCTTATGACCTGTCAGTCATAAGGTTAGTATGGCATAACTTGTTCTTTCAGAAGTCATACTGGTACTTTGTGATCATTTCTTCCTTTTCTGCCTGTTTACTAACTTTACCTTTAATGATGTAGTCTAGAATTTAGCCAGTCAAGCTTATTGTCCTATACTGTGCTTATTCCACTCTCTTCTCTTTTTTTTTTAACTTGGACAAATACTTTAATTCCACTGGACCTATAGTACTTTTTTGATTTTCTGACATCTTGCACAGATAACTAACGGTGCCTCAGCAGTGACATCTGCAAGTTCTTTCAGTGTCCTAGGATGTAGTTCATCTGGACCTAGTCAGTTAAATTTATGGCAGCTAGTGCTCTTACTGTCGCTACTAATCTTGGGAAACAACTTACTATTATTTATTTTCCTTAGCAGAGAACGAGCAAAATAGTCATTGTTATTCTTCCTTCTGCCTTCATTATTCTATCCCATCCATCATTCATTTCCATCAGCTAAAAAAAATCCTCACTTTTTTGTGTTCTTAGCATTCCTTGCCCACCTCATACTGAGCCTTAATGTACCTGCTGTTTTTAAGGACTGTGCCAGGGCCATTGTCTTTATCCTCCTTTCGGACCCTTGCTTCCATCTTTTGTACATTTTAAAAATGTAAGTTGATCTCTGTGCAACCGTGTCAGCCTCTTGAGATAATTCTTTCTCTTCATCTGAATCAATTCTTTGTGCCTTCAGAATTTTTGCGAACTTCCCCACCCCTCCAGGGTTAAATTCCTGTGTAGAATTTTAAATCACTGGATCCTTCCCATCCTTTCCTTGAACCCTTTCAGATTTGGTTTCTAAAAGACAAGGGTGCATGTCAAACTCTGCCCAGTTTATTCTCTTTTATCACATTCTAAAATGGAGTAGTCATTTTCCCCAAGGCACCCTTATTTTTGCTATAGCGATCAGTTTCTCCTTATTCGTGAGAATCAGAGCCAGAAGATATGAAATTATCATCAGAGCACATAAAAAATAATAGGGGGGCAGCTAGGTGGTGCAGTGGATAGAACACCAGCCCTGGAGTCAGGAGGACCAAGTTCAAATGCGGCTCAAGACACATAACACTTACTGTGTGACCCTGGGCAAGTCACTTAACCCCCATTGCCTAGCCTTTCCCCCCCTCCCCCCAAATGGGGAAAAAAAATAGTCACTGTACTTTTGAGAGAATGGAAGCTCTGGCAAAGGAGGAATTTCAGTGAGCCAGATGTCTGTATAACAGGCTAATTGGCCTGTTTCAGGCTTTTTTTTTTCCCCCTGAACTCCACTCTATCTCCTCTTTCTGTCTAGATCAGAGATTCTTATTGTGGGCTCTGTGAACTTTTAACAACATTTTGATATCTTTATTTCAAAATCATTGATTTTCTGTTACGTTCTAGTCCAAGCCCTCTTAAATGAGAAAGCTAAAAACTCCGAGGTGAATAATCTGTCTGAGATCACAACAGCTGATTAGAAATAGGCTCAATTCTAGAACCAGGTCCTTTTAACTTCCCAGCTCAGTGGCCTTTCCACTAGAAGAAACTACTTCGAAGCTGCTAGCTAGCCCACTGTAATTTCAACTACTAGACTCTTTATTATCCACATTTGACAGATGAGGAAGCTGAGAAATTAAGTAATATGGCTACTTAGCTAGTATAAGAGGTGAGACTTCAATGTTCTATCCACTACACTAGTACCCACATACCTGTCACTTCTGTTTCTTTCATCGTCTCCCAAATGCTTTCCACCATGCTTCTGGGATTTCTTTAGATATAATAAGTGACGTGTAGTGCTTTAATGTTTGCAAAGCTCTCAACATAATTATGTCATTTATTCCTCAACACGTCCTTGTGAAGTAAAGGTATTTGTCATAGGTAGGATTTGAACCCAAGTTTCCTAGAGTCTTAAATTCATTGCTTTTCACATTAGCTCCATTGCTTAATATTCACTGCTATTGCAATCTAATTTTACCTAATTGTCCATCCCACGAATTCTCAAATATGCTTCCTTGTGCCAATTTACCTTGTTACCCATGAGGCATGTGTCTACTGAATTTCTAGGCATCTCTACTGCATTCTTTTGATTAGATTTCCAAGCCTCTAGGCAGTTTTGTTTTTTATCAGACCTCTTCATTAAGTGCACTCCATCTCTGGCCAGAAGCTTGGCATTCCTTTATTTTAATGGTCTAAGAATCCAAATCCTATTTTCACATACCAGTCTTAACTATATTGTCATTATCAAGTCTGCCTTTCTCCTGGAGCGGGCAGCAATGATGAAAACACTAAAGTATTTATTTCTAAGAGGTATTCAGTTTTCTTGCCTCAGACTTTGTATCCTTTAGCAGTGTTTTCAAGATCCTTCTAGAAATAATGTTTGTGCTCACCTGAATCACCAGAAGTGGGGAATAGGCTTCCTAAGGGTAGCAAAGTTCCCAGCCCCAGGAAAGTGTATCAGGCCCCTCTCCTGGGGATGTGATTTTTTTTAAAAGGATATTAAAATACATATTAAAGTACTATTTATGTCCAGCGACATCATATTCTTGCATTAGATGTTTTATGAGACACTAACATGATGAAAAGCATTCTAGGATGATATAACTGATTCAAGGTATCTATTATTTGTTCATAATGTTTAGGATACGGCTCTGTACAAGTGTCACCGAAAGTGAAGTTGCCCGAGCTAAGAATCTTTTGAAAACAAATATGCTGCTGCAGCTTGATGGTAAGACTGGAGGCTGGCATTTTATTTTTATTTGGGGTGTGTTTTGGGTAACTAGATTTTTATTCTTTAAATAGGTTCAACTCCAATCTGTGAAGATATTGGTCGGCAAATGTTATGTTATAATCGGAGAATTCCCATTCCTGAGCTTGAAGCAAGAATTGATGTAAGTTCTTAGGTCTAAAGAATTTCATTTGCCTAAAACAATTTTGATTACTATTTTGAAATCTGACACATTGTCTTACTGATAGGGTCCCTTAATAAGCAGATTAAGAATTTTATAGGTAAGTTCTGTCTAGAACTAGAGTTCAACTTCAGAGTAAGCATTTCTTGTTTTTACGATAGGCAGATCCAAATATGTTACATCATACCTGGTTTTCTTCCTCTTTTAGGCTGTTGATGCTCAGAATATACGAGATGTATGCACAAAATATATTTATAATAAACACCCTGCCGTAGCTGCTGTTGGTAAGCTTTTCTTCCCCACTTTTTCTAGAGAGGAAACTAATATTAATTATGTTTTAACTGCTGTTTCTTTTAAATTTTTAGGTCCCATTGAGCAACTACCAGATTATAAGAAAATCTGCAGTGGCATGTATTGGCTTCAGGAATAAGAAGATTTTAATCAAATGATTTTGAAAATGTTATTTATAAAACCTGAGAAATTCAGGCTTTTCATCTAAAAAGCAATCAAAATGTTTTTGGAACCTAGCAGGAAAATGTGAGATGGTATTTGTATCAGGCTTTTAAAAGGTAATTACAAATAAGGAAACTTTACAGAGTCTCAATCAGACTGTGGAGTTTTTTGTAATAGGTAAGGAAGGGAAAGTGTAATAAATACCAGTAGTGCCTGTTTCTATTAGAGGAACTGTCAGTAAGCTAAAAACAGATTCGAAACACCACTAGAGTTTGTATAAGTTTAAGAATGAAAATTTATACAGTATTTGCAGTTTTATTATAAAAACAAACACAAAGATTGTCAACTTTAGTCATTTCTTGGCTCTACTAGCATTCATCACTTGTTCTTGAGCAGCCTTTTTTGCTTTTACCATTTCGACAAGTTCCTAGAGAAAAAGTAAGAAAGGTTAATTAAAAGTTTAAACTTTAAAACTGCTTCTATTTAAGAATTTCAGGGAGATTTTGTGGGGATAATATGGAATGTAGTTCATACTTTACATTTTTGTTCATGACCTCCAAAAAGGATCATTAGAGGAAATAGAAATAGAGGGATCTGGGTTGGCAAAGTAAAGTTTAGATTTAATAAATTTGCCACTGTATTCCTGCTTATGGGTAAAATAAGTTTTGGTCGATAGTGCAAACACATCTCCTTTTTCTGATAAGATTCAAGAAATATTTATTTAAACGCCTATTGTGACAGTCCCTTTGTGGCTTTAAAGATAACAATTTGAATGGCAGTGGCCCATCTTCGGTTGAGAAGCCACTTTTTAGGATATTCCTTGGAAAGCCATCTAATTTAGGGCCACACTTAAAGCTTCTTCATAATACCAAGCTTATGCTATGCTGGCATAGTCTTTGAGAAGCCAGGGTTACCTGCCTGCCATGCCAGAGTAGGACTTTGAAATCTATAAATATTTCTTAGAAAAATGGTTTCTGGAAGGTGGCATTTGGACATGATGCTCTTCCTTGTAGTGCAACCAGCCCCAAAAGTCTCATGAATTAATGTTACTTTACTGTAAATTCCATGTCTTTGTAATGACTTTGTTTTTAGTACCCTGAAGCCTAACCAACAAGAAAGACAACAGTATGCAATTTAACTTAGAATAAAATTTGTGAGTTACTGAATTACACACAGATACACACACACATACACACACACTACCTTATATCGTTTCATACAGTCCTTTTTTGATCGTCCAGGCACTGCGGAAGCTATTTTTTCCCATCTCTCAGGTGTATTCACAGGGTATGTCTTCAGAGCTTGTTCTAAAAGTTTTTGTTCTTCAGTTGTCCAAGGTGTGAAATCTGTACATGGACCTAAAAGAAAAATTTATTTGAAAAAACTTTATAGGATGAGTCTTATTAGTAATGACTATTTGATAGAATATTATGGTGAAAGATTCTTATCTTCCAGATTAATTTTTTATTTATTGAAATGATTTTATTTACATTTTTTATATATGCAATTATAAATAAAAACATAACTTTACTTTTGGCTTCATTTAGATAGTGAGTTTTATTTCACATATCTCTGCCCTGCCCTTAAAAATTAAAGAAACTAAAACAAAAGGCAGTAAAATTATTTACCTATTTTAATACAGGCAGCTGCTATGAAAAAAAAGGAGGCTCACTAAAATGAGTTCCAAGTTCTTACCTGGATTATGTTAGAAACTGCTTAAAGAATTTTATCAGTGTTCATTATAAAAGCTCATACAGTTTGTCTTAAATTGACAGAGTTGGAGACAATCAAATTTTTTTGATGTAATAGAGGTAGGAAAAATCTTTCTTTTCAGATACATACTAGGGGAAAAATGTCAATTTCCTTTATTCTGTAGGTATGGATGACAGGAAAAATTAGAACCCTTAAACTCTGTGCCCCAGTGACTCGTGTGAAAAAAGTAATTTACAAGTCTAGGAAAATCTTACATTGGAAAATAAGCTACAGTAATACTCCAGTATTAAAATAATCTATTATAAAAATAAAACTATGATCTCAAAGGGAAGGATAACAAATCAATCTGCTTATATCCAAATCCTTCTTCCCCCCAAAAAAGGGCTAAAAATCTGCAATGAACCTAATTGCACTGCATTATTCAATTAGTTGAACATTTTATTCTCCTAATATAGTAACTACAGGGCCTATTCTTAGAACTGAAGAGAGGTTTTGGCAACCTGGAGATATAGATGTACCCATCAATTATTTCCCACCTAATTAGAAAGTTAAAAAAAAAAAAAAAAAGCATTACCTTCAAACCGCTCTGAAGGTGCTGCACTGTCTGACTGAGGCACAACTCCATGTTCCTTTTTAAATTTATCAAAAGCTTTTTTGTTTATATCATCTTTTTGATGAGGGTCTGAGAGGAAAGAAAAGCTTTATTTACATCCTGAGATACTTCACAATCAATGTTCATGCAACAATGAATTCTCACCTAGAATTTACTAAATTTAATTTACTAAAATGTAACTGATATGACAAATCAGCTTCTTCCCTTAAAATGACTTCACCATAAGTTTTAAATACCCAGTTTCTGAAGACTCTTTGCCTTGCTGATGACATCTTTTGCAGTTCTCTTTATTCCAGAAGAAGAGTGAAGGTTCATATAATTGGCAATAACTTCCCACCTATCACAAGATAAGAAAACAGAAGCAATATTGTTTGGGTTTTTATTGTAGTAAAAACTATTTACAGAATTTCACCAAATTAGACAATCTGTCTTAAATTACTACTATTACTGGAAACTACTGCCACTCAAAGGCTTTGATCTTTATATTCTACAAAACCTCATCCAATATGTTTTAGTGCATAACAAAATCTTAAGATATTGTATATTATTTTTACATAAATAAATTACACATTTGCATATGTTGTCACAATAAGTATATAATTTCATTTAGAATCTGAATAGAAGAGTCTTAATTGGCTATCTATCTGATTAGGGACCAGCTGTAAAGAAAGCCTGTCTAATTTTGAGAAGTGAAACAGCACTGAGTGGCTAAGTCTCTTAGTACTGAACAGAAAACACAATAAAGTAAACACAAGATTTCAGTTGTATTGTGGTATAAGCCAAAAATCTATTTATCATGATTTCTTCTGAGATATTAGTATGAAATGTTTAATATAATATTTAAATATTTTAACAAAACCAGTTTAGGATTCACACTGGAATTTTGTTTATGAGAACGCTGCCTATTTTGGATGAGACTCCTATTTGGATTAGCCAGGGTGGCTAAGTCTAGGTTCACATCAAGAGGATTGCTTGAATGTTTTTGGTCTACACCCGTGTGGATTAAAAAATAGTCTGGAAGTATGGACTCTCATTGCTAGGTTCTAGTTAGTGTATTTTGAATAATATTTTAGTAAAAGAGATACCTTGAATTAGTTCCAGCAGGGAAAAGATTCACAGCTTTAATTAGTAGCTGCAAGTCATCTTCTGACCAATTTTTACTGCTACTGCCACCTCCACCAGTGGATTTCTCAGTACTCTTAGATGCTTGACGTATACGAGCCTCAGCTTCTTCCTTTTCTTTTCTTATTTGCTCATTTATTTCTTCTATCTACATGAAGGATAGGTAAAGATCAATTGCTTAAAACTAAGAGGTATACTAGACAATTTCTGATGTAGACTTAAGGCAAACCATTTGGTGCTACCCCCATCATTATTATCCCAGATTTCCATGATAATCTGCTATGCTAATTCCCAACCTGGGAACACCTCTCATTTGCTTTCCATATACTTGCTCCCAGGCTGAAGGGAACTTAAGCAAATTTGCTCCCTGACCCATTCAATAGAGTGCTCCTGCCAGCAGTAATTCAGGCCTCTTTCTAGCTTCCTAGAGTCTATCTCTACAATCTTATTCTAAAATAACTCCCTCATACTTTACTGAGATAAAGGCCATTCAATTGTGCCATCTCATCTTAGTCTTTCTACCTACTCTCCCAATGGCTCCTCAAGTCTCAGAGAAGTTTCCCTTAATCACCATTAAAACTAATCCTAGGGGGCAGCTAGGTGGCACAGTGGATAAAGCTCTGGCCTTGGAGTCAGGAGGACCCGAGTTCAAATCTAGCCTCAAACACTTGACACTTAGCAGCTGTGTGACCTTGGGCAAGTCACAACCCCAACTGCCTCACCAAAACAAACAAAACAAACAACTAATCCTAGCACCTGTGCTATTAATCTAGTCCTTTCTCAAACCTAAAGGGATCTTGTACCCACACATTTGTAACTTCTGCATCTTCTTTAAATCACCAGCCTCTCCATCAGGCCTTTTTAAAAATGCATATATTCTGCATAATGCTTTGGTTCATCTTTGTAAAGCACGCATCCTGCCCCTCACCCCAGACCTATACATTTTTAATTGCAGTTCAGGGCTCATTCTTATCTAGCTTTATTTCCTCTAATCAGCCTCATTCAACATTTCCCCTGAACCCAAACCCTAATCAAGCCATTCTCACTGCCCTCTGTTCACTCCCACCCCTGCTCCATGGTTTAGTAGTTAGGACTAAAAAAGGTCCTCCTCCATCCTTTAACACCTATTCTGCCTTAGCCTTCTCAAAAAACAGCCTTCCAACTTCTCTATTAAACCTTAATCAATTCTCTGGCTCTGATTACTTCCTTCTTTGACTGAAGAAGTACTTCCTGTACTATTTTATATTGTTTTCGATACAAATAGGCAGAATGGGGCAAGAGAGCCAGCCTTGGAGTCAGACTTCAGTTCAGGTTGTCTCAGGCACATAGTAGGCAAATTAATCTCTCAAAAAAGTATTTATCACACACCTATATGCCAGCACTGCACTAGGCACTGAGCATAAAAAGACAAAAATGAAACTATCCCTGCCTGTGAGTATGCATTTTCTTAGTGCCCTAGGCAACTTTCTAAGACTATAAACTGAAGAATAGTTGTTGAGATGCACTGGTAGAGGGAAGTTCCCAACAGCAATGAAGTAACAGGCCTGGGTTAAAAACATATTTTTCCCTCCAAAATACTTGATCTTCCTAGCAAGAGTTTAACAAGCTAATCTTTAATGTCTGGGATAGTTTTAGGTGCTTCTTTTGGGGCACTGTAGTAGCACTGCAGGAAAAGATTAGGAATCAAAAGACCCGAGTTTACTACTGTGGGCAAGTCACTTCACCTTTCTAACTCTATTTACTCTCCAGTAAATATTTTGATGGCTCTCATCTATCACATGAAGGGTTAATGGTGCAGATTACAATCCCCACCTCATCCTGTGCTACTCTTGTCTATGTCACGCCAAAAATCCTCCCCCTGTCTGGAGGATGGAATCATGGAAGAGGGGAAGGTTCTAGATCTCTTAACACGAGATGTCAGTGCTACCTGCAGGCTTCCCATTAGTTTTCCATATAAATGAATAACCTACTTTTCTCATCATATCTATCTCTTGGATGTCCTTTATATGCTGCTGTTTCTGTAAAATCCTTTGTTGGTAGTATATTGCCACCTACCTACCCACTGTCCCCCCCCCCATCCTCTTCAATTATCATTTGTGTGACCTTCAACTTGAATTCTTTGAATACCATGGTATTGCATAAGTGCTAGCTATATAGCATCACTAAAATCAAAGATGGAAGTGACCACAGTGGCCACCTAATCCAGCCAGTAACAATCCGAACAAGAATCGTCTCCATCCAGTAAGTCATCAAAACTTCCAAGCTAGGTGAATAGACTTCTACACTTAAAACATAAGATCCCTATAGCTATTGGTTTGAGCAAATGTCTGAACACCTGGATGACCTATCTCAATTTAATAAATATTATGGTTAACTTTAATACTTTTTTGTCTGGTTTTAGATTTTCTTTTGCTAAAAAATACAGGTTCATGTTCAGGAATCGCATACTATCTCAGTTTTGAAATCACCCAAGGAGTATTTATGTTAAAAATATGGAACTTTGATATAGGAAAATGAATGGGTTAATTAAAATTTCCCAAAGGCAATCAAGCCCACTCTTATATTGAATTCTGGGTCCATTCCCCTTCCCCCCATATACACTTATCTATGTATAAGATTCTATATGTGCCTATATCTACACTTAATGAAATAGTAAATGAATTTAATAGGAAATATTAAATTACTTAATGTAAATATGAAATCAGTGGCTTATATGGACAACAGATTTTTATTCATTTGGTTTTTCCCATGTAGACAGGTTGCACTCATCTAAGTCATTTATATGAAATGACTTAGATGTGTGTGTACACATATGCACATATATAAATAAAATCTTATACAGGCAAGTATATGTTGCCATTATACATACATACGCTTCAGACTTTATATATAACTAATTTATTTCAGTTGCTCTGTTTACTTTTACTTCCTCATGTAGCACTGTAGAGCAAACTACCACATATATTTATTTGTATGTGCATGTGTGTATACATGCACGTATATAAATATATAAAAAAATTAGGAAGCTCTACTATATTCCAGAGTTAACTGATGATATTTACAGGATGTTTTAAATTTTGATGCAATTAGCACTGTCATCTGCAAAAAAGGGAACATCTGGAGGACTGCTCCATCCCTTTTTCAACCAGACATCCAACATGCCATTGGAAAACACCTCTGACAAGCATGTTTTGGAGGGTCAATGAACAAAGTTATCTCCACTGTTAAATCTTTAAAGGAATCTCACATTTTAATATGTGCAAGGGAGCAAGGGGGCACTTAAAGGCACTTAGCCTTTAGAAGGCATTTTATCCTTTTCATATCTTCACCAAAGATACCCTCCATGAATGTGTTCTCAGAGATTTTGTGGAGATGGGAAATTACCATTTGGATTGGTAGTGATTGGTATTTTCTGTCCTTTTTGGGGGGTAATAATGAGGTCTATGATTTCTTCCACGCATTTGGAAACTGGATTCTTATTTTACTTCTGTTTTCTCTGCCAAGCAAAATGACCTTTGCACTAGAAATGATAGAACAAAAATAGCTAACAAGGAACTGATATCCAAGATAAATAAGGATATAGTAAGAGTCTAGATGAATTCAAGTTACGTGGCCCAAATGAACCATATCTTTGGATATTTAAAAAATTGGCTGGCTGACTGATATCTGAAAGACTGTCGAGAATGGAAGTTGTATTGATGGAGCAGAAGGGCAAATACTGCTCCAGTTTTCAAAAAATAAGAACAGTTTGACAATGAGTATCTTCAGTGAATACCTAGAAAAAACAGCATTTACAAAAAGCCAGCCTGACTTCATCAAAAACAGGTCATGCTTGACTAAATGTATTTTCTATTTTGATTGTTACTAAATAAGTAGGTCAGGGCCCCTAAACAGTCTTCTTACATATTATTCTCTTCATATATGTCTTTATGGTTCAGTCATCTTAGTCTATTTGCTGTTTTTTACATACAATATTCTATTTCTCTTCACCAGGGCTATTTCCATACCTAGAACACTTTATTTCCTCATCTGACTCTTAGAATGCCTGTCTTCTTCCAAGGCTCAATTCAGGGACCACCTCCTGAAAAGTCTTTCCCCAGGTGTTAGTGCCTTCTCCTTCTACGATTACTTTATATCTGATTTTTGGAGGTAATCATTTATATGCCTATAAAGGTACACATATTGTTTCATGTTATATATACATGGACATTTTTTTTTATATACTATGTTTCGGCTTTTTCTTTGTATCCTTTAGCACTGCGCCTGACACAAAGTTAAGTGCTTACTAACTGAATGATGGATATAATTTAACTAGAATTTAGCAAAGCATCTGACAACTATCTCATATTACTCTTGCAGAAAAGATGGAGAGATGGTGACTAGACAATAATACAATTGAACTGTGAAGTGGTTGAATGGCTGGACTCAAAGACCAGTCATTAAGTGTTTTATGTTAACTTGGCAAGTCTTCTATCTACTGAAGCGTCCCAGGGATCTATGCTTGGCCTGGTGGTATTTCACATTTTCAACAATAACTTGAATTAAGGAAGGTATGCTCATTGTAGGTTGCATAAAACTGGAGGGATAGCTGACATGATGAAAATACATGAAAAGCCTTATATTCACATTTTAAAAGTCAACTTCAGGGTCAGGATGGGTAAAGTCAGACAGCAGTTTGTCTGAAAAAGATCTGGTAAACTGCAAACTCAATGACTCAGCCACATAACAGGCCAGCCCAAAATGCTAAAGTGATTTTTTTCAGCTGTTTTAAGAGGCAAAGTACTGTGTCCTGTTCAGGCTAGCTATGTGATTACTGTGTTCTATTCTCAGGGCCACATTTAAGAAAGACATTGATCGTTGGTTGGCTGGTTGTTTCTTCATTTTTTTTTTTAAAGGCAATGGGGGTTAAGTGATTTGCCCAGGGTCACACAGTCTGAGGCCGGATTTGACCTCAGGTCCTCCTGACTTCAGGGCCTAGCTGCCCCCTGTTGTTCTTCATTCTTGAAGAAGACCAAAATGACATCACTATGTTAGGGTCAAATTACAGTGTTGTCCAACTGTGGCCCGATCAGACCAATCTGAGCTCAGAATGCTCTACCAGGTCAGGCACAAATAGTCCACATGAACATTTGGGATGGATTCTCTAAATTTACTTGTGCTGCATTTCTCTTGAGCTACTTTGATTCTGCTTTGCTCATATAGCACAGAGCCTTCTTTAATGTGGGTACACCACTTCAGGCAGTCCTTTGCCAATGTCTCCCATGTCATGCAATCAATTCTAAAGTTCTTCAGAAAAGACATTGATAGAAAGTTTAAAGGAAGGCAATCAGAATGATGATGAGCCTTGAGTCTGGGAACGGATAGAGTAAAGGATTTCATAGTAACGGATAGAATAAAGGATTAAGATTTCAGGAGGTACATGAACATCATGTTCAAGTATCTAAAAGACTTATATGGAAGTGGGATTAGACTTTTCTTTGTTGTCACAGGGCAGAAACAGGAGCAGTGGGTAGAAGTGGCAAAGAGGTAAATTCAAGCCTGACTTAGGAAAAACTTGCTTACATTTAGTTATCCAAAAGCAAAACAGACTTCCTTGAAAAGCAATAGGTATATCACCTCCCCCACCCCTCTTCCCCTGCCTCATTAAAGGCCTTAAAGCAGAGCTCAGATGACTTCTTGGGTACGTTATAGTTGGGGTTTACTTTAAGGTAGGGGAAATGCCCCCTAAGTCCCTGTGAGCTTTAAAATACCATGCTACTGTCAAAAATACTGTTTCTATCATAGACTTCCCCTGTACATAAATGGTTTACTTCAACTGTTCTAGCTCTGTTTTCTTTAGTATCACTTTTACTTCCTCATGTGGCATTGTAGGGCTGTGATGTTATCTGAGTGTGGTGGCTCAGTTTTCACTACTGGAGAAAATAATTGGTCATAGAAACCTTAACATACCTTTTTCAACTTGTGTTTGTTTTTCTTCCATTTCATCCTGAAATGCCCTTGGGATTATCTGGTTTAGTTGTGTCCCTGGCCAAGTTTTCTTTTAAAACTTGTTTTTCCCTCTACTCACCACCCTATGAAGTGACCCTGCTTATTATTCTCCTGGGATGTTATTTCACCAAGTTTCACAATGTAGAAACCAACAGTGCCTCTGACTGGCCTTGATCTCACTTATCTTCTGGCTGAGGTATTTCCAGGTACTCTTAGTATCCTTGGGCAACTGATTTGTATTGATTAAGCTTCCTCAAGAATGATGATAGTCAGCATTGATGTTTGTTCTTTTAACCACTTTGCATTTTTCAGTGTCAATAACTTGTTCCAATATATCCAGCTGGAGTTCACTCAAGAGAAGACTATCTTCTTGTTTTCATTCTTCTAATCTGGTATTGATTTTGATCTTTGCTCTCTAATAAGTCAATGATCTGACTATATAAACAGCTGATTCAGAAATGACTCTCACATCACTAACTAGTCATTTCTTCTCTCTGAAGGTAGAATTCACTTAATTTTTTTTGTGATGTTATTTGGTGCTCACCTTATCAGTGCCATACAACTCTCTTCTTGAAGGAAATATTCATGATATTTAGGAGTGAAGCTTTCATATAGTCTATAAACTTTTGATTTTTCTGATTTCTTAGTCCTGAACCATGTTTTCCAACTTATTTTTTTACAGCTCTTCTTATGTCCACTTTTGCAGAGAAGCCACCAAGTATTACAATATTATATTCACTTTATATGGAGAATATTAAGTTCTTCAGGAAATTCTTTCATCTCCTGTCCTCTGCAACAGATGCTGATGCATAAGTTGCAATTATCTTCATGGTGTTTTTTTTTTTTTTTTGCAAATGTTCATCATGAGTACTGTTAATACAAAATGACCAAGCATTCCCAGTTTCTTGTTGCCTATGCATGAATGATTAATCAAATGCTTCAAGTCCTTAATAGTTCTCTTCATACCATTCTTTTATTTATCTTTAATTACATCTTTATTTTGTCTTCTGGTTTCATTTATACTAAGTGTCAGAATTTATATAATTCAGTTCCTCCATTAGTATATCCATTAGCACTGGTAAATGAATGAGGATATCACATTTTAAAATGTACCAAAGTTGCTTTTTCTCTCACTCTTGGTCTCTTCCAGTCCACTGAATGACAGCAACACAAGTGGTGAGATATAAAGATGGCCAAATCTAAGAACCATACCACCCAAAATAAGTCAGATAAATGGAACATAAATAGCATCAAGAAACCCAAGTTGCAGAGATAAGAGGTTCTGAAAGGGGTGACCCCAAATTCCTAAGAAACATGTTATGATAAAGAGGCTAAGCAGGAACTGAAGAAGATGCAGGCCAACAATGTCAAAGTCATCAGTTTCTGAGTGTCTGAAGCTTTAGCATCAAAGTCCCCAAGAACAAGATCAGGCCCAGGATTGCCAAGACTACAGCCCCCTAAAGCTACACCTGATGCACCAGCCCCACTACTACTGCCAAACATCCAGGTCCCAAGATCACCACGCATGACTATTAGGTTGCCACAACCAATGATCTCTAAAGTTACCAAGCCCACTAAGTCTACTGGCACCAACATCACCAAGCCCAATGATTCTAAGGCTAAGCCCACTGACCTCAAGGTTGCCAAGCTCAACAATCCTAAGGCAGCCAACTAAAGATGCCAGTGCTAAAGCCTTTGGGTCCAAGTTTACTACTCCCAAAGCCTTTAAAATATATGCTTCAGGACAGGATTTGTTTTGAACACTAAGCTATAGTTTTCCTCAGAGGGCATTATTATTGCGTACCAATAAAAAGAAATGGTGAGCCACAAGGGGAAAAAAAATTTTGAATGTCAAAGGTACTAATGTTTATTTACAATCATAGTCTAAAAACTATGATTCTTTATACTGTCTCTCCCTTTTCTACCACCATCACTACAGAAGTCAAACTCAAGGGCATTCTGTATTTATGGATTGCCATGGCCAAAGGATTCATCACAATTGGCCAAGCTTACCTGTAAAAAAGAAATGATGATATTTTGAATGATTACCTCACAGGATTCTTTTTATGAAAGTAAATGTCAACTATTGTTATAGTCATCTCCAAGGTACCTAACTGATACTGAATAAATACTTGGCAAGTTAAATTGAAAGCCAGAACATATTACCAATTAAACTACCCCTTAAAAACTGTCTAGATTTTAAGTGTGTCAACTAAGATCAATTAGGCTTAGTTCATATAAATGAAATACAAACACAGAAAAATTAAGACTACATACATCCATTTTCCCACCAGTTAAATGAAAAAATTCTATGTTAGTACTTGACTTCTACAGCAAGAAAGCACAAACACAACCCAGAAAGCCTTAGCTGCTGTCTTTAGTAAATTCATATTGTTGTATGCTTTTTGATTGACATGCTGATATTCAATTAAGTCTAATTTTCAAAAACTGAAATAAACCATGACTCTAATTTTCTGTTTTTATATGTGATGAAAATCTGCACAAAATATATTTGCTCTCACCATGAAAGACCACAAGATGAAATTTACAATATCCATACCCTATATGAAAAAGTCATAATGTATAACAAAGTTGGAAAAAAATATCAGATCAGGTAAGTTAAGGTGAAGAAATCTGGATGGGCTTTATTGTCTTTAGATCTTCATCTCTTTCACCTACAAAATGATCTTGGAATGATCCTTAAGAGAAAGAAGAAATCTCACTATTTTTTTGGTTCAGTTCAACAGCTAGAAACACAGCTGGGAAAAGTGATTTTGAAAAGTACAAGATTTAGTGAAAATTTCCTATTAGGGTTCTAAGGATCAACCTCTCTGGACCTTAGTTTCATCCTCATCTATAAAGTAAGGGGGACTGGATTAGACACTCTTGATTGGTTCATGTCAGCTCTAAATTCTCTAAATGTATATGCACATTTAAGAGTAGGAGACAAAGGTAAATACAATAATTGTGTACCAACTATAGCCAATTAGTTCAACACATCATACATACTATAATAATGCATATGCTAAATGAACATTACCTGCTTTTCCACAGCAGCCTTCCCTTCTTCTTTTGTAGTAGACGTAAGAACGTCATTCAAGCACTGCAAGCTAAATTTTTAAAAGGAACATGAAATTTCATTCAAATTTAATAGAAAAAGCTAACTTTTTGTGTTTAAGGATCCTGAGTTTCACATACAGGAACCACCTTATATTGCACTGAAAGAGCCAATCCCTTCATGTTACTAAATGTGAAGATGACTTAATTTTATGTAACTTCTTATTGCAATTTTACAGTCCAGCAAAGCTGCCATTATTACAAATTTAAGTGCCAACATGTACAAAAGGGTGCTGCTTGTTTGAGCATCTAACTTTTATAATGAAGAAATCAATCTATAACTACCCAATATTCATCATGCAATTTTAGTCTCTAGCTTTGTTCAACTATAGTTCCAAATCTTAGCATTTTCTGTTTTTCTTTCTGGAAATCTGTTTTTATATATTTGTGTATATGCATTTGTAAAACAAGTGGCTATAAATACACATTTGAACAATTGATATTGATTAGTTCGTGTACTGTTGTTAAGATCATAACCATGATATATGGCCTAAGTTTCTCTCAGAATAAATCAGTGGTATTTAGAAAGCAACATTAGCTGTTTCAGAGTTTAATAAATTAATATACTAAGTATTATGATTATAATTTTAAAACCAAAAAAAGAAAAGGCTAGCTTCTTGATAGAGATCGACAGTAAGATGGTGATCATACCTTGTTAGTTCAAGACGATCACAAAGCTTTTCAATCTCTTCCATCATTTTAACAGACTCTGCCTCACTGTCTGAAAAATAATTCCAATTCTAGAAAGCACAAACATATAATTTTGTTGTGTACGTACTGATGCAAATTATTGTTGATTTACAAGACCAATTTAATAGCTAAATAGATTTTATACACGAACCTTTGCAAATCCTAGCAGTTTAATTTATGTCATAGCTTCTGACCTTCAGTCAAAATCCTGGGGGAATCTGGCCAAGTTCTTCACAGCTATAAAAGCCATCTTTTGTAGGCAATGGATGCAGAGTGAATAAGCCTTATAGCTATTATGAGTCAATTTAAGTCCCCAAGAAATTGCTTGTGGATAAAGAAGTAGTGTCATCCCCATAACAGAATTTTCCTTCATTTGTTAAGCTGAGTGTGCTACTCCATCTATTCCTAAGTATAAATATCTACTACCAGAGAGTTTATATTTCAGTAAAAGTGTTAATCACCTGGTACGATGATAAATATGAGGTGCTGGTGAGCAAAAAAAAAATCCCAAACACATTTACTTAATATTTAAAACTAATGAATACCATATCATATACCAATTACACGAAGGTAAATAGAAACTAATTAATATGATCAAATTTAGGGAGATAGTGAAAGATATGCAAATCTAAAATTACAGCTAGGGAAGTGGGGAGAAAAGTTTAGCTAGGCAGGAGGGATTGAAAGTTATTAAAAAAAATACTTTGAGTGCCTACTATGTAAAACGTGGGTATCATAAATTTCCCGTCTCTGTGTGCATAAGCTTACCTCCATGCCTGGAATGTACTCTTCCCTAACCTTTGCCATTTAGAATCCCGAGCTTCATTCAGGGATTATCTCAACATGCCACCCCCTACCCAAGACCTATCTTCACCTCTCCAGTTGCCAGTGCCCTCCATGCCCCAGATGAAATTATTTTGCATTGTTTTATGTACATGTGTTCTACTGGGGAGAAACAGATTAGTTTTTATTTTTGGATACACTATGCTTAGCAGATACAGATGCCCAGCATATACTAAAGCACCTGATAAATGCTGCTACACAGGAGACAGCACTGGTCTGAGTCCGAGCACATGGGTTCAAATCCTGCATTTGACACGAATTACATAACTCTGCATAGGTCACTTAACCCTTCAGTTTTCTCATCCGTAAAAAAAGAGGCTGGAGAAGCTGGCCTCTGAGATCCCTTCCAGTTCTGGAATTATAATCTTATTTGGTATGTGAGAAGATTTTTTGCTTCACCAGACTGACATACCTTGCACGAAGTTCGAAGTTTTTGCCTTTCCTTTTTAATGGCTTTTTTCTGAATTTCCTTTTCTTTCTTTGCCAGTAATGCTTGTTGTCTAACTTCTTCTTCTTCTTTCTCCTTCGCTAATCGAGCTGCTTCTAATTCAGCTTGCCTTTGCTATATTCAGGGAAACGAGAAACTATCATGCCCTGAAAATGGAATGTGCCACTGTTCAATGGCCTTAAACAACTATTCCAATCTTATTTAATGAATATTTTGATTCAGAAAATAGTTGAGATTGAAATCATCTTAATGAAGAACAAAGACTGACCACAGTATGGTCAGAATAATAAATTCCTTCACATATGTCCTATTTCAATAGGAATACATTAGATGTTAGCTACTATGTTGCCGAAGATATCAGATGCTTCCATGATAGTTACACTATCTGCATCACCCAATATATTCTCAGTAAATGCTTGATAAGTGTTCATACTTAAGATTCCTCTCTTGCTACTAATTATGCAAATTATCTATTAGCAATAACACTTTTAAGTTTAAGTCCCTGGGTTTTCTATATTTTTAATAGGCTTGTAGACTAATGAGGAATTTTTATCTCGTGGTATATTTTTATAAACTCCAGGAGCAAATACAAAATGCTGTTTGGTGTTCAAAGCCCTTCATAACCTAGCCCCCTCCCAGCTTTCCAGTTTTCTTATATCTTACTCCCTGACATGTACTCTTTGATCCAGTCACACTGACATCCTAGCTGTTCCACTAACAAGACACTCCATTTCTGTGGCTCTCCCTTGTGCCTGTAATGCTCCTTCTCCACTCTGATTACTTACCTTCCTAGCTTCCTTCAAATCTCAATTAAAATTCCACCTTCTACAGGAAGCCTTCTCCAACCCCTCTTAATTCTAGTGCCTTCCCTCTGTTAATTATTTCCTACTTATCCTGTATATAACCTGCTTTGTATGTATTTGTTTGAATGTTGTTTCCCCCATTAGATTATAAGCTCCTTGAAGGCAAGAACTCTTTTCCTTCTTTTTGTATCTCTAGTACTTAGCACAGTAGCCTGGCACAGAGTAGATGCTTAATAAATGTTTATTGATTGACTGAATAAATTCATTCCACCAGCCAACTCTGAAAATTGTCAACTTACTTTTTCTTTTGCCTCTTGCTCCTTTCTCTTTGCTTCTACTTTTGCTTTTTTCTCTGCTTCCTTCTTGGCTTTTTCTTCTTCCTTAAATTTTTTTATCCTAGGATCACAGCTATATGCATTATCTATCAGAAGAAAGAAAACACTGTGAATATTTAATCCCCCCAATTAATTAAATATTTTGAAAAACAATGTATACTTACCAACTAATGTTCTTATTCTGTTCATTTCTTCTTTTTTCCTTTGTGCCCTAGCTGCTCTGTTTTGTTTTTCAATCCACCTCCTCTCATCACGACTGTAAAATGGTAAACATTTGAAAAATGTAGTATTTTCTATAGTTCCATGCTTAGAAGCAATGATTTCTACGGTTAAAATGGTACAAATTACCATCTTTAAAGGGATGATGCTAATATTAAGTAAGTGAAGTCAGGGGAGGTCATGGTATAGAGAAGCATCCCTCAAATACATTCACAAAAGTTTAGCTAAGATGTGGCCAAGATGTGGCCAGGTGTAGTCTGGAGTGAACTGGTCTTTACATTGAGGTTACACTTTCAGAGACCTATGATGCATACATTTCTACTGCCCTTCCGTCCATATATAGAAGGCCTTGAAGAATTACTGTGGTCACAACATCACAACTGACGTCTATGGAAGAAAGAGATGAAAAGCTGTGAGGAGCTAACTGAGCGGAACTGCAGTGAACAAGTGATTTCTTCTGTTCCAACTGCATGGAGCACCCAAAGCTCTCCTCTAAGGGAAGTGGGGAAGAACAGGACATGTATGCAAAAGAAAAAATCTTCCAAGACTGTGACGCTGGATCCTCAGCCTACAAGGAGTTTAGAGTAGAGTGAAGACTTTTAGGAATTCTTTTAAGAGCCCTGCTTTATGCAAATTGCCTATTCATATCTTTTGACCATTTATTTTTTAGGGAAACTTGCTACAAAGTTTTTTTTTTCTTACTGCCCAATTACCTGTTTCCCTTCTAATTTTAACTGCATTGGTTTTGTTTGTGCAAACCCTTTTAAATTTCATATAATAAAAACTGTTCAGCTTGTCTTCTGTAATCTTCTCTATATCTTGTTTGGTCATGAACTATTCCCCTATCCATAGACTTTCAGGTAATTTCTTCCTTGATCTCTAGTGTTGATAATGTTACTCTTTATATCTTATTCATTTGGTGCTTACATGGTATGAGATGTTGGTTTATACCTATTTTTGGTGAGACTTATCCCAACAGCTAAGCAGCAGCTAATGTTCATACAGCCCTTACTGTGTGTCAGGCACTGTGCTAAGCACTTTACAATTATCTCATTCGATCCTCACAACAATCCTGGGGAGGTAGGTGCTATTATTATCCCCATTTGATAGATGAGTAAACTGAGGCAAACAGGTTAAGTGACTTGCCCAGAGTCACAAAGTCATTAAGTGTCTGAAGCCACATTTGAACTCACATCTTCCTGATTCCAGACTCAACACTCTATCCACTAAGCCACCCTAAGCTGAGAACTGGGTTTAACACACACAGCATTATTGTCTTCATTTGCTTATTTATATTGTGTACCTAATCTGTTACAATAATCAACCTCTCTATTTTTTAGCCAGTACCAAATCATTTTTGTGATTACTCCTTTGTAATATAGCTCAGCTTACCGCTAGGTTCCCTTCTTTCCTTTTTGTTTTCATTATTTCCCTTGAGAATGTTGACTTTGACCTTTTACTCTTCCCACATGAATTTCATTATTTTTTTCTAGCTTTATAAAATAATCATTTCATAGTGTGATTGTTATGGCACTGAATAAGTAAATTAATTTAAGTAGCACTGTCATTTTAAAAATATTGGTAAAGTCTACCTATGACCAATTAATATTTCTCCAAATGTTTAGTTCTGTCTTTATTTCTATGAAAAATGTTTTATAGTTCCATTCATATAGTTCCTCTGCATGTTTTGGTAGGTAGGCTCCCAAGTATTTCATCAATTCTGTAGTTATTTTGAACAGAATTTTTTTTTTCTATCTCTTCCTGCTAGTTTTGTTGGTAATATACAGAAAGGCTAATAATTTATGTGGCTTTGTTTTATATCCCGCAACTTTGCTGAATATATTATTTCAATTAAATTTTAGCTGATTCTTTTAAGTTTTTCTAGATACTAGACCATCATAGCATGTGCAAAAACTGATAGTATTGTTTCCACTTTTTTTATTCCCTCTTATTTTTTTCTTGTCTTATTGTGATTGGCTCAGATATAATCAAGTTATCTTTGGATCTTGTTGCTATGACCCTCTTTTTCCTGTTGTTTGGTTTAGTTCTGTGCAGAAAGGACTTTAGAGGGTAAGATCCTTTGAAAAAATTTTCTGGATGACAGAGAAGACCTAACTGCACAGGGGACTCTATCCATTTCCACCATTCCAGGGCTATTAAAAAAAACAAAAACAAAAAACCGTAACACTGATGATTGCCTCTACAGTAAGAACTCTGTAAGTTTTTTTTTTTTACTTTACTGCCTCCAAGGGCCAAAGACCCCTCCTTCTAGAACTCTTACCCTGGCCCCACTGTCCTGATTGGCAAGTATATCATGTCACCCACTCTATCTAGCCACTTGCCAATTCCAGCCATGCTTCACTTTACCACCCACCCAATCATCTCACCAGCCACTTGGATGCCACATATACTATCTGCTGTACCTGCTTCCTTTAATCCTCTCTTTCTGGTTCTGGAACCATAAGCAATACTGACATTGCTACTGGAAAGTGTGTACCAATCTCTATTTCTGTATGGCTCTACTCGTCATCTCTTACTTTCCTAACCAAAATACTCCTTCCTGGTTACCATTCCCTTTTACGTGTTGTCTCTTCCAGTTAGAATGTAAACTCCTTGAGAACAGAAACTGTTTTTGTTTTGTATTTGTATCCCCAGTGTTTAGCACAATGCTTAAACAGATGCTCAGTCATTCATTTATTCCTCCATTCCTAACAGAAATGAGGTTTAGCAAATTCCCACTCAGGGTAAATTTACATGGTAAATGGTAAATGGTTTTTTGCTGTTGTTCAGTGTTTTTTTTCAGTCATGTCCAACTCTTCTTGACCAGTGGGCTGCCATTTCCTTCTCCAGTTCATTAAGGATCTGGGGTAAGATTTGAACTCAGGAAGATGAGTCTTCCTGACCCAAGGCTTGGCACTCTATCCCTACTGAGCCACCTACATGGTAAGTGGCACAGAGTTCTTAATTGCTATTAATGTTATGGGACCTCAGAGGGCACACTGATTTTATTAAAGACAGTAGATGATTTTAAGAGAAATCCCTACATAAGGATGTTGGCATTGTCCTCCTACTAACAGTACACTAAGACTTACGTGCTCCAGGGACATTTATCCTTAGGTGTAGATTTAGAGTTTTTACTTCCTAACTGGAATATATGCTTTTTTATATGTGTAAGTATCTTCTACCCATTAAGTCTATATGATATAATTTGGAAATATCTAAATAGCTTGAACAGAACTGTCACTATCTGGTGAGTAATATTAACTCATGAAGATTTAGTCATTGTGAAACAAGTCTCAAGAATGTTTTATAACTTTCAAGATACCTGCAAATAAATAAATCCTCCTATTTTCAAAAAAATGAGCTAAACCACTTCACTTGTTAATGACTTTACTTACCATTCTGCTTTTTCTTTTTCTTCTTCATCTAAATAAGAAAATTCTCTCCAAGAATCAAAGTTATACCTGAAACAGAAAATTAATAAACACAAAATTATACCTATAAATAATTTCAAGTTTTTAAGCTGTTAGTGCATAATGATATATACTTTAGTAAAAAGATGAAAATAGTAATTAGATGAATTGGTACCTACTTAATTTTCTATCAACAAAGAACATCTTACCTTGTTTTCATTTTAAATAGATTTAGGCATAAAATTTTATTATACCCGTTTATTCCCAATTACCACACGTTCTTCAGTTTCTTGAGATTTGTCACAGAATTTTTTTCCACCCAATTGTCCTAGTTCCTACCCCTCCTTCGCTGCTCAATTTTTTTTTAACTTTGTGACCAGGTATAGGCAACCATAACAGGTGATCATTTTCCTAACATCGTATATTAAGTAAAAACCATTAATTTATAAAAAGTGAATTTTATTGTTCCAATATTATAAGTTCCTTGAAGTCAGAGACCACTTTGTGTTTTGTATTTGTATTTTCTTCCCCTCCCCAAACTGGCATATATACATACTAAATAACTGCTTGTTGAATGATTAATTGATAAAAAGACTTCATGCCCATTCATTCTTCTTAGTACTCACTTGAGATTAACCAAGAAAATAAAGTTTTCTGTATTACAAAATTCACCCAGTTTTCATTTTTGTGTATGAACTGGCACATATAAAAATCAGTAAATTATTAATGAAAATTAATAACCTTGTCCTTGATTAGATGGGAACACAAACATGAGAATCTTTTTTTGCGTATTCAATTTGGATTAGCCAATACAAGTTAATGCAAGTTTCAATTACTTTCATCATAGTGCTTTTCATAACTAGAGATCTTGTACCAACAGGAAATGGATTGGAATAATTTGTTCAGAAAAGGTTTAACAGCTTAAAGAGAAAACAGCTTCAAGCAAAAAAATTTCAAAAAATTCTAAATTATGGGCTTCAGTAAGTTTATGATAAAGTTTCTGCAAATCAGTCTCCCCAATCAACATGTGTGTAACTACAATCCTTTTAATATGGCAACACTATTTAAATAAGTGTATTAGCTTACCAAAAAGAGTAAAATGCATCTACATCTTCAAATGATGAATTCATGTCACCAAGTTTAGGAACATTTTTCTTATTTGACCATCTGAAATATTAAAATAAAAAGCAAACCCAGTCAAAAAAGCTGGTATGAAACTTCAATGTCATAATTTGTAACATAGGCAACTTTTTAACTATTTATGCTCAATAAGATGTACCTTCAAAACATAATATGAGTAGTCGGTTTGATATCTTTTCTTACTGTTTTTATAAGACTTGCTAAGACTTTTACAAAAGTACAGTACAGTTCCTAACTTCCCTATCTGGTTGTAAAGTCACTCTTTCACATGCCAGACCCTATACATAAAGTAAGGTTTGAAAGCAAAAGCATGGTTAGTGGTGAACATCAAGGAGCAGTGTGGTACACGTATAGATGGAGATACTGGAGTAACGATCTTTCTAGTTGTTTGGCTGTCCTCTCCAAAACATGAAGAAGGAATAAGCAGGCTCTTCTCCCAAATATTTAATCACTTGCTGATGACATGTCAAAAGAGGAAATATGGCCAAATGGGAAGAATACTGAATCTGAAGATACAGGGCCTGGCTTCAAATCTGTCCTATTGTTTACTCCATGGGTGACCTTGAGCAAATTACAATCTCTTATAGCTTCAATTTCTTTATCTGTAAAGTGAGTGGGTTTGGATGAGGTAAACTATTTAGTCCATTTAGCTTTAAACCTATGATCTTATGATGAAGGCATTTGTAAGGCAAGCCTAATGTCTAGTTTAACTTTTTTTTTTTTAGAATACTCTGTGTTATAGCGAAAATAATAGGTAGTAGATATGGAAATTGAGCTTAGAAATTAGGGAAATCATCGGGCGGTTAGACAAGTAGGTTAAGAAACTAGAAAACCCACCTGAAAGCCCAGATTTAGAAAAATAAAAATTTTCCTACTCTCACACCCTTTGAATTGAAAGGTTTTGACTTATAACTAGAATAATTGGACTAGGTGGTCTCTGAACTAGGTCTCTGCATCTATTAAAGAACTGGTAGCATGTTCCTGGAGTGGAAAAATGATGGTTACCTGTCTAAAGTAACTGTTACACAAAAATATACTATATACTTTCATTACCTGGTTGGTGAGCCCTGAAAGGACATAAATAGTGATACTAGGTGCCTTAGGTGAGGAATAAGAGGTGGGGAAATAGACTACACATAAAGCCACATGAGAAAATAACTCTCAAGGGCAGAAAGGTTGAATCATAACAAGGGAAAACACTACGAGGGTTTACAATGAAAGTTTAAAAAATTGTAAAGGTATAAAAAAATATCTTAAATGTAAACCCACCCTTATCCAGAGAAGCTTTATGGTAATCAGTTGCTCAGAGAAGAGAACAGTTGTTTTTCTCAATTAATACTGAGCAAAAGGGAGAAAAAGTACTAATCAGCAAGAGAATAAAATGGTGGAAAAAAAGAGAAAGAAATGAAGTTACAAGCAAACAACATATCTACATCAGAATGAGTCATTATCCCATTATATATGGCATTGTGAAAGTCAGGAAAACATAAGATAGGTTCTATAACGTGTCAAAATAGGGCTGTCGTTTTAGGGAATGAAACAACGGAGAAAATTAAGCCTGCTAGATCATTTTACAAGGGAAGAAGAGGTATTCTTTTTCTTCTTCCTTGTGCAGTAAGGGGAAGTGAAATCATTTTTCAGGAGAAAAAGGAGAAAATATGGAAGACCTCTATATGCATGCAACAGGGCTCTTAAGTTCAAAAGGTGATGCCGTAGCTCACCTGGAATTCCTTTCAAACACTGGTGAAAACACTTCAAAGAAATTGTCCTTTGCTTCATTTTTAGAAGGAACTGAGTTATCAAAAGTAGGATCTATACTGTTAAATGCTCGTCTTTTCACGGGGTCAGACAACATTTCATAAGCTGAGGAAGAAAAGTTACAAGGTCACAAAACATCACCAGATATGACCTGACTTTACATGTTTCTATAAGAAAATGCTTACTTTACTGGTGTTAGTAGTATTCAAGTTAAAGTAGGTTTTTATTTTCACAGTACAATAATGGATTGATGCCTTCTGCTTTGGCAATGTTTTAAATATCCGTCTATTAAGCAATAGTTTGAATAACTAAAAAATCAATCTTGGGCAGGTGTAGTAAGTAAAGACCTTTACAATACAGGAATGAAAGAATATAGGGATGACAGAAGTAGGTGGGCATCTAAGACTTTTCATTTTGGTCCTAAAAATGTGTTAACTTCATTTTAAATCACACACTTCTTAAGATTAAGGACTATTTGGAAATGGTGATTAATAGTATGGAAAAAATATGTTCTTATTTTCCTTAATAAATATATAAATACTCCTATGTTTAACATAGAGTTTCTTGCATGTAAGGTTGCATCCAATTATGGGTTATGTAATGCGTTAGAATATTGAATCAATTTCTTACTTTAGTTTAAACTAGTTTATTTAGTTTAAACCAGTTTATTTAACTAGTAAAGCTAGCCTTGAAAAGTATTTATTTTTCCTTTTGACTGAGTTCAGGTGGTAACAAAATGTCATATGTTAATTCAGACTATCACTTGAAATGGAATAGAAAACTGGTGGGTCATAATTGTGATCAGGAAATAGAAAAAAATCTAAATCAATTCTGCTATTATTAGCAATCATTTTATTTAATTGAAAATGGTTTGTTAATGTTACCCACAGTAAAGTGAAATATACTGCTTAAGATATTAAGTAATATCAGCCTACAAAAAGATCTACATTAATCTATTAAACACTAGAAAATCCTACCACTGAAAGGATTTTCTTACCTTTAGTTATGCAAGTAAAGTAGTCATTTTCCCCTTCTGCTATTGGTTCACCTGCTGCTTTTCGTTTGTCTGGATGATGTTTCAAAACCATCGCTTTATCTACCAAATGAGTCAAGTTTGGATAAGTTCTGTCACTTAATGTTTTGTATTTGAAAATAAAAACAAGTTAAAATGATTCATTTCTGGAATCTTAAGGATAATTTTGAATGTCATGACAAATACGTGGTTATGGAACAGATTCCCCCCCCTCCCCATTTAAATGTTACTGTAAATGAAAATCTTCTTGCATGATTTACCATTAGAAGTTAGACAATTTGAATTACCAAAAACTCTGCATCCATAAAAATAAATAAAAACTACACTTTTTTCTAACGAGCATGGTACAGTGGAAGGGGCACTGTACTTGGGGCCAGAGAACCTGGGTTTGAATCCTGCCCCTAACATTTATTAGTTGTGCCAACATGAGCAGGTCATCTAATCTCTCAAATACTCACTTTCCTTATCTGAAAGGGACAATATTTATACTACTTACTTCACAGGGCTTTTCTGAAGAAAAGTGATTTGCAAACATTAAATAACTATATAAATGTTAGTTACTATTAATATTTTAAAATAATGTGAATAAGGGAAAAATTCAGCTACCAGAATCTTTTTTTTTTTAACTGAATCTGAAATTTCACTAGTATAAGGAGTTCCCAGTGAGGAAACTTCCTTGACTAAAGCACATCAGTAACTGTTCTACTGCCAAAATCCTTAATGCTAACATAAACTTTGTATTGTAAACATACATATAAAGTGAACAATCATGTTTGTAAATAAACAAGGTTTTTAAAGTAATCCTTATTTTATATGCTTTATTTAACAAGAAAGTTAAAAATTATTTCTGCAAACACCGTAACTAACATTTACTGTTTTTAATTCTTCATTGGATATGGACAAGGGACTGGACTTGGGATTTCACTGTAACTCTCAGATAAGGAAACTTACTCTAACCCATGCAGGTTGGCGAGTCTTCAACTTGTAGGCAGACAACCTTCCTAAAGAACTAAGAGGTTAAATGACATTCAGGTTTAGATAGTCCTAAAGTGTCAGAGGTAGGGCTTATATCCAGATCTTCCTGGCAATTAGGTTGATTCTCTAGTCACTGTTTCTCCTCATCCAGGTAGTTAATTAGTCATAATGCTACTTCAGTATTACGTTTATACTGAGAAAAGAAACAAAGATGCCTTATTCCTGGTCCCCTGTGGTGATTCTAACAAGAGAATCAGTCACACAACCAAAAGAATCTAAGGAAATGAAGGAAAGGAAAGAAAATTTTATTAAGGAAGATAATTTCATTATTATTATTATTATCATTTATATTTTATTAAGGAAGATGTAATATCCGGTATTACTGGCAATTAACTGTTAGAATGCATGGTGCAACCATCCTCAAGAATGTAAGTAGGATAACTTTGTGATATATTTTACAGGATCCTGCTTTCAATGTTAAATCTTCCTAGGAGAAGTATGGTTTGTACCAATAAATCTACAGTCTGTCGGGTCTCCACTATCCCTATGTTGGCCCTTGACTAGACAAAAGTTTCTTTCTACAACTATAAAAAAATACAACAGCAGAGTCAAAACTCTTCTCTGCCTTCTCAAGATACTTTCTAGTTTTAATTTATTTTATATAAAGCATCAATAAAAATTAGACACTATATAAACATGAAGATATTTTATTACATATGTGAATTCATCTAATGCATTTACTGCTTATCACAGAATTAATTCTCAAAGATACAGGTTTAGATAGCTAAGTCACTTCCAGAAGGGAGGAGGATATAATAAAATAAAAATGTAAAAGTGTCCCTGCATTCCTATGAATCCTGTCAGCTCATCAACTATAAATCCTCCTCATCCCACTGCCACTTCCTAACAGTAAGAGAATGGCCCAAAATGTAGCAGCTGAAAAAAGAAAAGGGTTCAAAACATGGTGTTCTATGAGTAAAACACTCTTCTCATTTTCTAGTACTATGCTTTAATAGAGGAACAGTTTTATGTTTTGTTTTGTATATCCAAATGTTCCTTTCATAGGATTCCAACTATTTTGATGCACACTGTACCTCAAAATTTGAGTTTAAGTCTACTACTGTTAGATAAAAATTAATGTTTGGTTTATATGTCTCTGTTATAATAAACTATATGACAAATTGGTTAATATCTATTACCATATGAATTTCATGTTGTGAATTCATGGAATAAGACAAGATGAACAGGCAGACCTAAAACTGTTGAGTGGCATTTATAAAGATCCTTCCAATGTTACCATCTCCACCCTGATCCCAAAAATAACACTGCAGAGAGGCAGCAATAGAAGTAAAGTTGAGAAAAAAGTGTTTTCAAATTTCTCATCATATACTTTCCAGTGCTCATCATTATAAAGTATAACATAAACAGAGTCACACACAATATTTTACGTTCAAAAATCAAACTTTTAAAACCCAAACTGATCTTGGATTAGATTTTTCCACAAAGAGACTGTAATTGACATGTTTTAAAGTGACAGAAGTCATAGTACATACAGTTAACTATACCAACTACCTAGTCTGGAACAATGCTTCTCAGTACAAGGGCTAAGGACACTGGAGTTTGAAAGCAATACCCCTTACTTTCTTTTCTGAGACCACCACACAGGCCCTGTTCAGCCTATCCCTTTGATTCCAATCCTTTCTTTACTTGAATTGTACATAGTCTAGCCCTGACTTCCCACTTCCTATCATGGCATAAGCTCAACTATACATCCATCCAAGTATTTATTGAACATCTATTATGCAAAAGATACTGTGCCAAGGACTATGAAGGATATAAAGACACAAAGAAATAGTCTGTGTCCTCAAAGAGGTTATAATCTAGTAGGTGAAAAATGACCCATACAGAAATAATTATGAGGATTTGAGAAACATAATAAAAGGGGCATCAAGATATTGATATAGGATTTTAGAGGAAGGAAATACTGCCTCCATTTGGGAGATTTAGAACAACCTTCATAAAAGAGGTGATATTATATTTAAGCAGTCCTTAGAGATGAATAGAAATCTGAATGGTAAAGATGAGGTACAAATATAGTGAGTGGGAAGAGGAAGAGCACAAGTCAGGAAGGGCAAGTAATCCAGACTGAAGTTACAGGTGTGTTAAATGTGCATACACACACACACACACACACACACACACACACACACACACGAGATGAGGTCATACTATAAGGTAGCTTGGGCCAAATTATGAAGGACTTTGAATGTCATGCTAAAGAATTCAGACTTTATTTGATACACAATAGGGAGAAACTGAAGGTCTCTGAGCAAACAATTACCATGATTAGAAGAACAGTGCCTTAGAGCTGGATCTAACACCGCTATGTAAAGACAGAAAACACTAAAGACACAAAAACTAGTTAGCGGGTTAATGTGATATTCAAAGCAAGAGATAATTAGGTACTAAACTAGTATGGCAGCCCTGGGAATGATTTATGTGAAATTTTAGAATTAGATTTTATAGAACTTGATGACTAAATGTGGAACAAGAAAAAACAAAGACTGTGGAACCATTAGGGGAGTCAGAAAAAGGAACAGATTGTGAGGGCATTATAAAGTTTAGATTTTGCACATGACAAGTTTGAGATAGAATGGGAAATCCAGATGTCCAAACAATTAGAAATGTAAGTGTGGAACTAGAGAGAAGATGGGCTAGAGATAAAGCAAGTGAATTCATGGAAGGCAGATGGCCAAGGCTGAGAATGTTGAGAAAGAAGAATGTTGAGGACAGAATCTTACAGAATAGAAACAAGAAAAGCCAGGGAAAGAAGCAGAGGTGGGAAGAGACGTAAGAGAATACAGTTTCATAGAAGCCAAGAGAGGAGAGAATATTAAACAGCAAAGTATATCAGTGTCAAATGCTGCTGAGAAACTGAGTTCAAGGACTAAGAAAAGGATGATGATTAGGTCTCATTGGAAATCTTTGATTTTTTGGACGTGGGTCTGACTATCCCTGTGTGTGGCTAAAGTAGAGTGCAAACACAGGTCATAAGAGTTGGGAGGACCCTGTTCTGTCCTCACTTTCTGTCCTTGTCAGCTGACTATATAACCAGTTCAACTATATGCTGTCTGCCATCCTTGAAACTCTTGCCCCTTGTCCTACTGCAGCTCATGCCTTGGCAAACGCTATCCCTACCTTCTCTGCTCCTACTCAGTAAGGTTGAACACCCATGGATAAAGTGACAGAGCTGTGTAGACTGAGTCTAGCCCAAATTTCTGTTATCTCAACTGGGCACCAAGCCAGCAATCATTTTATTCTTCCCTGATTGACTACCATTGACCCTTCACAACAGCTGTCCTAAAACTTCTTCTCAAGCCTCCTATACGACTTTCCCTACTACATTTCAGTAGAGGGACTTGCCTCTAATTTTGGTGAGAGACTCTCTGTTCTAAGTACCTTCTTCTTGCCTATTCTGCAAGTCAAAATTTCTCTTTTAAGTTCTCTCCCCTTTTTGTTCCAATCTCCCCTTTTTGTTCCAATCTCTAACAAAGAAGTGGCGCTCCTTCCCAAGACCAACCTCATTCAAACTTCTCTACTATTTACTACTATCCTTCTGATCACTTAGGTTTCAATCAGTCATCTTTGACTCCTCATTTCCCCTCACTCTCTCATATCCAATCTGTTGCCAATTCTCATAGATTTTACTTCTACGAGATCTCGTTCATCTCCTTTTGTCACTCCACATGACGATTTAGATCTCATCACCTCTCATCTGAACTTCCACAATAGCCCCTCTTGAATCCATCTTACATTAACTCCCAAAATAACCTTCCTAAAGCACAAGGATGATTATATCTCTCCCTTGCTTGAGAATTTTCAGCAGCTCCCTACTTCCTCTAGGATAAGAGAGAAACTCATCAGTACATTTAAAGCCTTGCACAATCTGGTTCCAGTCTACCTTTCCATATTTATTGAATTTACAATGCTCCTCGTCACACTCAGGTCTGCTTGCTTCTCCCAGAACTCAGCATTACTGCTCCATGTTTTTGCCAACTATCTCCCATCAATAGCATATACTCCCTCCTCACCTCTATTTGTTAGACTCACTTCCTTCAAAGCTCAGCTCAAGTGCTACTCCATAAAGGAAGCCTTTCCCCATGAACTCCTAGCTGCTAAATTGTATTCACTTATTTGTTTGATGTTGTAGCTCTTAGTACAATGTAAACTTTTCTTACAGCAGGAACCATTTACCATTTCTTTGTATCCTTCCCCAATGTCTAGCATAGAAATTTGCTGAACTGGAGATTTATCAGCATAAATCTTAGTTCCTCTGACCCAGATTACAAAATTTCCAAAACAGAATATGATAAAATCCTCCCAAGCTGAAGTATGAATTTCTAGTTATTTTCTTCAACTACTACAGTGTTATAATTGGTTGAATTAAGCTTTTATTAATTTTTTTTGAGGAGAGATTTTTTTGAGGAGAGATATGGTGAAGTCACAAGATACAGGGAATGGTAAGAGGCAGATGTTTAATATAGGAGGAGACTAACATGTTTAAATGTGGTTAAGGCAACTGAAGTTTGAAATGGTTGGTTAAAAATTTCTGCATAATTTTTCTAACAAAACCATTTGAAATATAATGAGGCTTTAATAAAAATAACTCTATTATTGAAAAAAAGATATGGCAATTTCAAGAATAATGTGACCTAAGTCTGGAGCAAAGCAATAACAACCTATGAGCACAGTTGCTGTTGTTCAATCCTTCAGTCACATCTGACTCTTCATGACCCCACGTGGGGTTTTCTTGGCAAAGATACTAGAGTGCTTTGCAATGCCAAAATTTCTCCAGTGGATTAAGGCAAACAGAGGGAAGTGACTTTCTCAGGGTCACACAGATAGTAAAAGTGCCTGAGATCAGATTTGAACTCAGGTTTTCCTGACTCCAGGCCCAGCACTCTATGCACTACACCTCCTAAGAGAGCACACTGATCCTCACTAAATACAAGTCAGACTCATTACCAAAGAGATCAGAAACTTAGCTTGCTTTTAAAAGCTGACCATCTTTAAGAATGCTTTTTACATTCAAAGGAAAATTTACCCCACAGTCTGATTTCTTTTATCCTTAATGAACGAAGAAGTAGACAAATGAGAAAATACACATTGATAATCTGTTTTCTGGCTTTTTTGCTCCAAATATACCCTAACCACAAGGTGGTTTTTCCTGGTGTAATTCTACCAAGGCATAGTTAAATCTAGAGCTTTTTCACACCCTTTAAAAAGAATAATTATATTCCTATGTCAGACTTCAAAGCATTCCAAAATAGTAACCAAAATGAAATACTTACGGGCTGCTTTGATTTGTTTCTGAGTAGCCCTGTATCTTATATGTCCAAGTCCAAGGACTGCATAATGATCTTGATTCTGAAAAACAAATATAAAAAATTTAAATTCATCAAAAATATACTTCTTATCTCTTGTGTCATGCCAAGTGCACAGCTAAGAAAGCCTTCCTCAGGGCATGGCTAGGATGAAATCTGGGATGTGTGAAAGAATAGATGAATGGCTCCTGCCTCTAGGCTCACACCAAGAACAGGAGACACAATCCACTGAGTGGGAAAGTACCTGGGACCTGTTGGCCACAAAAAGACTACCTCCTGGGATCTCTCAAGTAGTATTAATGGCATATAAGCTTGAGAACACGATTGTTTCATTTCTTATCTTTGAATGTCCAGCACGTAGCACAGTGAATGGCACATTTTAGGAGCTTAGCAAATGCTGATTAATTAATGACTGATAGGCTGCCACCTTTGAGATTCCACAAGCTTGTATAACTAAGGAAAGCAGTATGTCTTTCAATATACTTAAACTGTGGACCATTTTGTTCAGCTGTTGTACTAACTCCTTAGGCCCCAAGGGTGGTAATGAAACAGATGCTTTTACTAGGAAAAATTTATCCCCAACTCCTCATGGGAGCAGGCCAGTTCTCTAAATAAGAGAGCTAAATTGAAGAACACTATCCAATAGCCTGCTTAGACTAGAAGAGGGGTTGGATTAGGTGAAGAGATAATGATGGAAAGCAAAAAGGCTAGAGACATCCAAGGGAACAGATAAAGTCAGAATGAATAAGGAGTGCCTGGGAAAAAAGGTTTTTCCACATTAAGAGCCTGAATTTCTCTCTGCTACCAATATATGGAATCCAGAAATTGTAGTGATATAGGAGGCTCCTAGGGTAACTACTTCTACTCCCTGTGGAATTCCAATGGACTAGCCAGACTCAAAGAAACTGAAGGGCTGAAACAAAGTTTGGGGGTGGGGGGGAGGGTGACCATCTTTCCCCCTTTATCATAGAATCATAGCTTCAAAGGTTGACAGCTAGAAGCCCATCCAGTCCAACCCCCTAATTCTATAGATAAGGAAACTGAGGCCCAGTTAAATTGCTTGTCAAGGCCGCACAGGTACTAAGGAGCAGAGCCAAGATTCAAACCATGTCTTCTTCAAACCTAAGATTCTTTTCCTTCGCATCACAATGCCTCCTTCATTGTAGAGATCTGGTATATTCTCCTGGAGGCTATGCTTCCTTCTCTGCATATCCTTTCCTTTCTTTCCCCACCAGCCTATAAAGTTTAGAAACCTAGTATTAGGCTGAACAGAAAAAACTGGAAAAGTTCTCATTTTTAAAAAATACTGGTAAGTATTGGTTGGCAGTGCTCATGGCCTTTTGTGCAAAAAGGAATTTTCATAAGGCTACACAATATACTGTTATTTAGAATTATGGGCACATTTCTTTTTTTAATTGACAAAAGGAGCACCAATTAGAAATAGTTCTCATGACTCAACCTACGTGATGCACTATAAAGCCAGATGAATTAATAAGTATAATTTTAAGAACAAAAAAAAAAGGAATTACAGGCAGGAAGATCTTAGAATGTTATGATAGCTGGAAAATACACTTGAACAGTTGAAAACCCTTAGACAGACTATTTAACAATTTCAAGGAAAATATGATGACAACATAACTTAAAATGGTATCCATATACAATACCTTCCAATCTTTAGGATCAAGAGTTTTCAGCATAGGAAACTCCTCTAACTGTAATTCTTCATCTTCTGACTCCTCTGATAATTCTTTCTTATCCTCTAGTTCCTGAAAAGAGGCTGAAATATTCCTGTTTCGCCTCTTAATAAATGCTTCATACCATCTTCCCACGGGTTCAACTTGACAGATTACAGAAGCTATGATTGAAAAGTATTGAGAAGCTTCAATGTACTTTAGAGTTTAAATTTATTTTAAAATAAAGCATTTACCCAGGAAATAACAAGGTTAAATAAATGATATATTCATAAATTTCAATTTTTAAAATAATCACTTATGAAAGTAGGTGTACTAATCAAGCTACCAGAAGGATTAGTAATACACAATTAATTCCCAGCAAAACACAATTAATAGCCCCATATTCCAAAGTCTTTCTGTGCCATGTGTCAACAATCATGCACTAAACAATATCATATCCCAGGTAAGTTTTTATTGACTTTCCAGGGAAAAACTGGGGTGTAGTCAGGAAAAAGGGGAGAAATGCAGCAAACTGTTTTTACACCAATAATAGCAACGATGATTTTTTTCAGCGACTAAGGAAAATGATCATTGTGAAATTTGTTTAACAGAGGTCAACACAAGGCCTCCTCAAGGGTCATCTGGAAAGATGTTTAACAGTTATTAACATCGTGTACAGGAACCCGTGTTCGAAACACAGGTTATACATTTCTAAAGTGAATGCATTATCAGCATGTTTAAATGTGTTTTCCAAGGTCCCTCTTGAATTAATTAATGGATATTTACCAGGAATTCTTGAGATCTAAGGGTAAGTTGCTTTAACTCTGGAAAAACTATAATAAAGAAACTTAGGAGAGGAGAATGTAAATTGAGCTAAATAAATGATTACTACGTGTAAGAAAGTAAACTGTTACTGCTTGATAACAAATAACAGTTTTGTCTCATAAATCACCTCCACAAACGTTGAAGAGAATTGAACACCTGTTCACATGTTACTTCAAGAATCCAACACTCTCACTGCACTATGCCAGAATCAAGCTCAAACACATTCTATCAGCACAACACAGCTAGGGCATTTGAAGCATTATTTCTGACATTTCCTTCTCTTTTAAGGTGATCACTTTAATATGTCAAAAATCCCTGCTTTATCAGATTTTATTTCCTGCCATGCACTGCAACACGTCTAAGCCTTCAGCAGATCACCCTCACCAGCTGCTGGGGTCCAAAAAAATTAATCTGGCAGCCAACCTTCCGGCAATGAAGCTTTCTTTTCTTCGGGAATACTCAAACCTTTATGGCTAGGTAGGACCTAACAATTTTCGTCCTTTATGGGCAGACTTCAGCACCCCAGGCTCACCACCCCACAGGGAAAAAAGGAGTCTTAGCGAAGGTCTTCAGTGGAAAGCAAGATTGGTCAACTACGTACCACAACTCCCATAAACACAACACAACCTGGATAACACACTTAAGAGTTGTTCCCAAGAACACGTCCCCGTGTAAGCTGGTAGGGGAAGAGGGGCCGTTCCAGGCCTCTGGAAGCTTGCAAACTGAAGTTTCTATAGCAGCAGGACAACTTCGGAACAACGAACTTTACACAGAAATGACCTCCGCTAAGGACGCGCCAACGCCGATCTCGGGAGAAGCCGTGGCGGCCAGGCTGACAGCCACAGGCTCGGGGTGACCGGGGGGCGAGCGAGGCACCGGGGCCGGCCCCGGGGACCGAGGGGAATGGTGTGCCGGGCACGGGGATGGCGTTGTATGGGCAGCCGGCGGCACGTGGGGGGCACAGCCCCGGCTTCTCCCCTCGGGTCTTCCTCTCCCCGCCAGGACGGGCAAGACGGGGCGCCGGAGGACCCCGGAGGCATCGCCCGCGCCGCCGTCACGATTCAGCTCCCTGCTCCGAGCCCCTGCGCGGGGACGCTCCGGGGACCCTCGCCCGGTCCGAGCTCCCCACGATCCGGCGCTCGCCAGCGGCGCCCTTTGGCCCCTAGTGCCTCCGGGCGCCGCCGGGTCACCGGGCGGGGCCAGCGGCCAGCTGGGAGGTCCGGGGGGCAGAGGGCAGGGGCTGGGGCGCACGGGCTGGGGAGCCCCGGGAGGGTGAGGGCGGGGGCACCGAGCGGCTCCGGCCACTTACCCGCCGACAGAGCTCGGGTGACGGCGGTGCCCTGGCCGTCCGGCGCGCCGGGCAGCAGCAGCATGATGGCGCTGGTCCGAGCGGCGGTTCCTCTCCCGAGTTGGGGACGCTCGCGATCCCTCTCCAGCTCCCCGGCGGGTCCCTCGCGCCTCCGCTTGCTCTCCAGAGCCCAGGAGCCGGCGCATGGAGACAAGCCACAACTGCTTCCGGGCCATTGCCCTCTGGGTGCGACGCTCTCTCCTGCCCCCCATCGTTGTACGTACAGGCACAGCCTGGCCCTGACTGCGGCCCGGCCAGGCACCGAAGCCTCACCGAAGGTTCCCGAAGTCGGAAGGGCCGCTTCGTAGGGACGGATTCCTAGTTTACAAGCATGCATTAAGCATTTACTTTTCACAAGGCACTCTGCTCAGCGTTTGGGGTAGAAAGGCAGAAAACAAAAAGGAAAACACTATACAAGTCTATCCCTGCCCTCAAAGAGTTCCCATTCAAACAGGAGCGCAAATATGCAAATAACTATGTACACAGAAGATTTGTACAATGTTAATGGGGAAGGCAATCTTAGAAAGAAGGTCATGGCAGTTGAAGGAAGGGACAGTCAACTTGGGGCTGATGAAATTCTAAACTCAACCCTATTATTTTTGGTGCCACTGGTGGGAACACACTGATTGTTACCCCTCACTAATCCTTCATTTGTGAACTAGAATTTGTAGCCATGGCAATGGATTCATTTGACAAATATAAAGTAACTACTGTGTACCAAGGGGTATACGAAAATGAATAAAGAACAGCTCTCACTCTCAGTGAACTCAGATATAAAATTCCTATGAAAATCTCATACATCGCTTGTGACCTCTCTCCTGAGGTCAGGAAGACTGGCCTAATTCTATACATTATTCTAGGCACCACCAGTTTTTTTAAATGTCTGTGCCACAATGAATTTAACTTTCATTTATTGAATGCCTACTGTATGGTAACACTGTTTTAGGAATTGTGATAACTACTCTGGACTTATAGGGCTCACTCAGCATCCTTCCTGCTTGAACTTGGACCTGGAATGAGAGGCAGAACCATGGAAGAGAGAACATCAAAGTAGAGAAAGTCTTTGGAATACCTGGGCCTGGGTTTATATCTCACCAAGGAGTGCTGCTGCTGCTGCTAGATGCTAGATGCTAGATGGCACATTAGATGGAGTCAGGAAGACCTGAGTTCAAATCCAGACCAAGGCACTGAGCTCTGTGACCCTAAGCAAGTCACTTAACTGTCTTTGCCTCAGTTTCCTTATTTATAAAATGAGCTGGAGAAGGAAATGGCAAACCACTCCAATATCCCACCCCTGACATTTACTACCTATATAACCTTGTCTTAATTCTCCTAGGCCTCAGTTATCTCAGATGTAAAACAAGGAGATTGGACTTGATATAGCCTCTTAGTTCCCTTTTCCAACGAGTGTCTGAACTGGAAGATTCGCTGGATGAATAAGACACAGCTAGAAGGGTTCACCTGTAAGTAGTATGCCCATGTTCACTTTGATGGAGCACCTACTACAGGTTACTCAAGGTGAGAAGGCTGTAATTATGTATAAAACATGAATCCTGCCCATTGGGAATTTATTCTATTCCTCTGTCATTCCTTCAACAAATGACTGCCGACTATTGTAAGGCCCTGGAGTAGGAGGGGGAAGGGATAATAACTACCATATTGTATAGTACATATTATTAGTCAATAGATAACCAACAATTATGAGTTAATAATAGCTAGTAATTACATCATGTATATTATTAACTATTAGTAATATAATTGTTAACTAATAATAACAGTTTTTATTAAGACTGTCTTATTTGTTTATTGTATAATATATTGTGTGTAATATTAATAATTGATTATAGATTATAGTATTATTAATAGCAACAAATAATAGCATTTAGCAATAATAGCAAATGGTTTAAAGTTTAGGAAGCACTTTACAAATATCACAAAGAAATAATTATGCTCATTTCTATAGCACAGTTAACAAAGCACCTTCATCACAACCACACTGTGTGATAGGTAAATATCTCATTTTAAAAAGAAGGAAACTGAAGCTTGGTTGCAAAATGATTGACTGATAATCACACACAGATAGCAAGAGGAGGCCAGGCTCAAGCCCAGGTCTCCAGACCCCAGGTTTAGAGCTGATCTTTGAAGACAATTGAGTCACATGATACTCACATCTTAACTCAAATGGATTCAACTAAACAATAACAATAACAAAGAAAGAGAGAGAGAAATAACAGTTGTGGATCCCACCTACCTATAATGAGCATGTGCCCAAGGGATTTTCTGTTTTTCTGAGCATGATCTCCTCCTATTCAAACCCACAGATAGTCTGTCTGTCCATGGGCTTAGATGGGTAGAGCTAAAGAAAGGAACAGTCTTAGTCTTCCTGCTATTCCTAATAGGTGGTCATTGCTATCTATGTACCCTTTAACTTCCTCACATCCTCTCTTGCCTCCTGGGGAAGCAGAAGGAAGAAACAGCTAAGTGGTGGTGTGAACACCCTCGAACAGAATCACACTTAGTGTATGAAGCCCTTTCGAGAGTTTTCTTCCCCTCCCCCACCAAATCATCCACTTTCCCAGCAGCTGAGTATTTCCCTGTTTTTCATTTTTGTTTTGAACCTGTGTCTCCTCTTCTCAACCTGGGAGCTGGATTGGCAGCTAGCTCCTGGGCCCATCCCAATCCTGATCCCCTGGGGAACTTTGATCTGCCTGATTGTTCCAGCCTAGCACAGTTTACCCCTCCTGAGGCAGCCTCATGACATTCCACTTCGCTACTGAGGGCTTACCAAAATGGCACTGGACATATCCCTATTTCGTCTTAGAACTCCCAAACTCAAATGATCCAGCTAGGTGGAGCAGATAGAGTACTGGGGGCAACAAGACCTGAGTTTGAATCTTGCCTCATATACTTCCTAGTTGTGAGATCCTGGGTAAGTCACTCCATCTTCCTCATCAGCCTTAATTTCCTCATCTGCAAAATGGGGATAATAATAGCACCTACCCCACAGGGTTACTGCAAGAACTAAATGAGATAACATATATATAAGTAAAACACTTAGCAAACCTTCAATGGTATATAAATGCTAGGTGGTGCAGTGGATAAAGTGCCAGCCTAGAGTCAGGAAGACTTCTCTCTCTCTTTTTTTTAAAAATTAATTTATTTTGAATTATCAACAATCACTTCCATAAGTTTTTGAATTTTAAGTGTTTCTCCCCCTCCCTCCCCAAGATGGCTTGCAATCTGATATAGGCTATAGATATATATTCCTATTAAACATATTTTCACATTAATGATATTGTAAGTAAGAATTAGAACTAATTAGAACCACCAGAAAGAGGAAAGAAAACACAACAGAAGAAAAAAAATAGCAAATAGTATGCTTTGATCTGCATTCAAACTCCATAGTTCTTTCTTTGGATGTGGATAGCATTTTCCATCACGAGGCCTTTGGAGATCCTTGTATTGCTGAGAAGGGTTAAGTCTATCAATATTAGTCATCTCACAATGTGGCTGTTAACAGTGTAAAATGTTCTCCTGGTTCTGCTCACTTCACTCAGCATCAGACCATACAAGTCTTTCCAGGTTTTCAGGAAGACTTCTCTTCCTGAGTTCAAACCTAGCCTCATATACTTACTAGTATTTGCCCTGGGCAAGTCACTTAACCTTGTTTGCCTCAGTTTCCTTACCTATAAAATAAGCTGGAGAAGAAATGGCAAACCAGTCCAATATCTTTGCCAAGAAAACCCCAAATAGGGTCACAAAGAGTCTGACGCAACTAAAAAAGACTGAACACTACCACTACTCCTCAGTCTTAGCCTCCCCAGCAACAGGGATTGCAGGTGTGCTCTGTGACACCTGGCTTTATGTGTTTTTGTTATCTTATATTTGAATAGGAATTCTGATTGTTCCCCCTAAACTTCCAATCAATATTTTCACTGGGTAGAGGAAAAAATAAAATTTTCATCCAAATGTTTCCATAGTAACCATCTCAGCTCCATCTGCTCTCTGATACAAACCACCTTCCTTTAAATAGGCCTAGGCTCTTTCTAGCTACACTTATTTAAGGGTACTGTCCTACTTTGTGGGTGATTTAAGGGTAATTTTGACTGTACAGGATCTCATTTAAGAGCTTATCTAACCATCCTAGATGTAACTCCACTATTTCCTATTCTTCCTTACAGAAAAAGATAACCTCTGTTCTCATGGAACTTTAATTTCTAAATTCCTTCAAGTGGCATGTACATTTGCTGCTCCTATTCTCTATCTCCCAAACCTTGTTATCAATTCAAATATGTCTAAAACAAAATTCTTAATTTTCTCCCCTTTATTTCTCAGATCAGTTCCTCCTCCTGACCTCCCTAATATCTATTAATAGTAACATCATTCTCCCAGTAAAAAGGCTCTTAAATCGGTCACCTTTTACTTCTCCATGTCTCTCAGCGTAAGCTTTAGGTTGCTAAGCTCTACTCATTGTTTGGGAGCATAATTTCTCACACCTATCTTCCTCTTTTTATTGCCACTGGTTTGTGTTTACTATGTAATTTCACACATGAATTTCTCTCTCTCTCTTTTCCTCTCTCTCTCTCTCTCTGTTCCTCCCTCTCCTTCCTCCTTTTCTCTCTCCACTCCCCATCTCTCTCTCCTTCCTTTATTTCTCTCTCCTTCCTTCCTCCGTTCTTTCTTTTTCTTCTCTGTCTGTTTCTCCCTCACCACCCCCCCCCATGCTAAATTAACCCTCCTAAAGCATGGACCTTTTTCTGTCACTCTCCTCGAAACTTCAGTGGATATACTTCTTCAATAGTTCTATAATTTCATCAGTATGGGTACTTTGTCCATGGAAACACATCACAACTCCTCTTCAGTTTCACAGATGGTCTTTGAGAAATGGTTTAGAACAATTCATCACCCTTTAGCAAATCTGATCATGAGCCTTTCCCAATTTAGCTAACTAGGCTGGTCCTAAACAGTCTATCACTGGGCCAGTACTTGAAGCCTTTTCAGCTTGGCTAAGATCTGCCAGAGGTTGCCCTCTGTAGCCATTGCCTTCAAGAAACCAGAATCTTTTGTGCCAATATGAGGGGTCAGAGTAGGATTTTAGTGGGGATCTTTACTTACTGCCGAATGA